CGGAGTCTATCTTTGCCTGTTCGATGTCCGACACTTCCATCCTACTGAACATGTACCGGTATACAGGGGGGAGGGGATCAGGCCGTGAGTGCAGAGACGCAGTGCAGAGTGGTATTTACGACATGTGGTATTTAACGTTAAATACAAGTACTCTGCAGCGACTCTAGGGGTAGCGGTTTGACAAAATAGTATACCTTTAAGCCCAGTAGTCAAACAGTTCTACAAAGATATCCAGTGATCCCGATACTTTGTCTCCCCGAGTTAGACGTTAGAAGGATGGACTAACTCAAGGCTGAAAAGGTGAGAAACATTCATAAGAGACACAGAACAGAGGTTTTTGAGGATAATACAAATTCCTCCACAAAGTTTTGACCCGATGCGTACTGGGATGAACCAACCAACCATCCATGGTCTGGGATATTAATGTAACATTAGAATAGAAATACATTTTGACATCCGTATTTTTCACTCCATTGTCTAGGCTTATCCAGCAGCTGCTTTTTTTTGGGCACTGTACCTACTTTATTTTGTCTTTCTAACACTGCAGAAACATGGGAAGGTCTTGGCAACACCACACAGCCAACGGCTCTGAATAACTCCGATGCTTTAACGACTCCCCAAACTGCACTGCTCTTATTTTGGCAGCACTGCACCAGATTCCAAATCCAAGAATGCAGGAGGGATTTGCCCTAAGTAAGACGTAGCGTTGTTTTCTTTTCTGCCAGGGGTAAAGGAATTATTTTTGTATCGTTTTCAGGCTTGTGCACTCAACCTGCTGTGTTGACACACTGCAGCATAAACCAGAGAAGACTGCTCTGTGAAAAAACTCAGAGCTGGAGTATAACCCTGTCACGCACACCTGAAAGCCTCTGCTGCCCTGGCAAATATCACCTCAAACACCGATGAAGTCTGGATAACTTGCAGTTTCTACTTTATATTCAGGGTCTGGCTAAAGAACTGGCTGCATTTCTCTTTGTTCTTACTCTTCCATTTTTTCTCTCCTCACTGTAAGGTGGTTTTGGACTTCACACAACAAAACTCCTGCTAGAGTTTCCCCCCAAAAAACCCCAAGACCTTCGATGTTAAGAATCTTCCATACCATGTCATGTCTTCAATACCATTATTTTGGAACAGGAGCAGTCATCTATTAGTGTTCATCATGTGGTACTTCTATTAAAGTGGGTACAGTCTGAGGACAGTCAGTCAGCTAAGGGTTTAGTAAAATACTGTCATCATTTGTGACAAATAAATGATATCCAAAAACTTTAAACCAACACCCATAGTTCCATGTTATGCTCTAAACAGATCTACTGAGTAATCTTCTATTGGTCTAGAGTACACCAGAGTAGTGCATTGTTTAACTATTTATTGTCATGATGAATTCATATTTTCTATAGATTTTGTAGATTTATATTGGTGTGTCCTACTGCATGTCTTGACTGCTTTGCACTTTTGAAGTCTATTTAACAAGTTGCACCAACAGTTTAGTGAGAAAAATGAGCTTGTGCTTCACTGAGGATCTTTGACATTGTCTGTGGCAGGGTGGCAACTTCAGTTGACAGTTAATCAAACTACTGTTAACGCTTTAGAGGTTACTCACATTGAAAATAGGAACACTGAATATAAAATGTGGTTTACATTTTCATTTAGCTTATATTATTGAGTATTATGCACTGATATTTTTAACACATTTAAAAAAAGTCAAATACCAAGTACAACAAAGTACTCCTACACGTACACCCATTTGAGAAACACTGATATACCATATAGAGCGTAACATCACAAATAGACATTTGTCTTTATTATTTGTACAACATACAATATCTTCTATCCTTAGATCCTCAATTCAGACAAAATCCCTTTGTGTTGTTTCTTAGCATTTGATTATATTTTCTCTTTTTTGTGGAACACTGCCCATAGATTATCCTTCAACTTTTACTGTGTATGCTAACCATAGTTCACCAGTTCTCCTTTTGAAGTACAGCGTATTCATGTGCTCACTGTCACTTGTTAAATAAAATGCCTGATGAAGGTCTTTGTACTGAAGCCATTTAAGACATTTACTATGAGTAATTCAGTGTGCTGGGTTTTTTTCCCTCTTTATTTATGCTCTACTATACACTACTTTCTGATGTGCAAAGATGACTTATTTGATCTTTTAATACAAACATCAAAAATGTATTAGTTATGTTTCATTTCAGATTGCCATCAACTCATGCAGATGTTAAAGATTTATATGTTGCCTTGGCACACAATAAAGCTTTAGCACCTAAGAAAAAAACTATTTTATTCGTGAAATTGGTTAACAGTTGCTCACAGTTTATAGTCCTACTGCTAAGATATGAATAAAAATGTTCAAGTCTCAACCCTCCAGCAAGTCTTCTTTGTCCTTCACTGATACTGGTTTCATCTGGCAGTCTTGAAGTTGGGAATAGACATGAGGCTCTGTATTTACACTAGCAGGGATGAAAGACACTTTCTATCTCTCTTTAGTTGACTTCTAAAAAACATGCTTTAAGCATTCAGGAAGATTTCAGGAAACACAGTGAACATTAAACTAACAAGTGTTTGATGAAGTGCCTTAAACTTTCTCTGGTGTTTATCTGTGTACCTGAGGAGACGCCAAAGACCATTAGTCTTTGCAGCGGCATAGTGACGGTAGTGCAGACGAGAGATTCTCATTAAACGACGACTTTAGTATAAACACTTTTCATTGTCACTTATCTATAACAAGCACCTCCACAAAACCTCCCATCAAAGTTATACCATTTAAAGCCTCAGCAGCTCTCCTGACTTCCATTTAAAGAACTTATTTGACAGGGCTGCTCACAGGGGACTCCCCCTTACTGCTTTTAAGTGCCTTACTGCATTTCTGCAACAGTGAGACAGACACAGCAGGATGTCTATACAACGCACTCCGATGGTCAAAAATGTTTGGTTGCTAAGACAACTTGAATAGTAATCGGCTGTATGTCTTACCACAGTGGTGGAAGAAGTATTCAAAAACTTTACTTAAGTATACCACAATACAAAAACACTCCATTACAAGAACGGCCATCAAAACTTGACTTAAGCAAATAAGAATCATCCATCTATCCAAATCTATTAATACATAAGGTGAGCATGGGTTTTTAGATGTAAAACCTGATTCTGTAAGTAACTACAGCTGTCATAACTGTAGTGAGTAAAAGGTATAAAGTAGCATGGAATAAATAATGAAATAATCAAGTATTATGCCACTTTTCAAATTCATAAATACGCAAGAATGTAGAGTGTAATGACCAAATCAAATTCAAAATTTACAGTATATAAACGCTACAGACCACTTGAAGTAGTTGGCCTTATGATTCAGCAGAGGGCAATCCACTGTCTGAGTGGCCTGACCTATGGCATGCCCCATTGACCTGTCAGCAACGTAAGCTAGAAATGTTTTGTTGTCTAACACTGCAACAACAAATCTGCAGACTCACTTGCTAACATTAGCTTGCCACCCAGGACCTAAAAGGTCAAGAATTAATTTCCATGTACAAATTCGGTCCTTTTATTCATAAATGCAGTCCTAACACTTGTTTTACTGTACAGCAATACTCATGCATGGCTAACACTGAACTCAAACACAAGCAAATCTAATAGGGTTGAGCAAGTGCCCGGCTGAAACAAAGATCCAGTACATATAATGTACTCAATGTATAGTATCAAATGCGTAAAAAGTGTCAATATCTGTACTTGTAAATATTGCTTTATAATAAAAGAGTGATGATTCCTGTATAGAGGCTCCTTGTGTCTGTTGCATCTTTGTCATCCCCCAAGAGTGGCAAGCAAACACCTAATTGGAGCCTGCATCGGTTGGATCAACTGTTTTTAGGTCAGTTTGTCCTCAATGTTTATTGCTTTAGCCTGAACCTGTCACAGAGACTGCAGTAATTAAGGCTGCTCATAGTGACCGACCTCCTGTGGGACATGTGTACAAGCCCTGGATCCATACTTTAATGTTTTTTTTAAATGTCTGCCTTATTGTTAATAGGCTTTGTTGCTCTGCCAATCTCTGAATGAACCCATTTGTTCAAAGCAATTTATAAATAACTGAACGAGTAGCTCACCTATGTACCGCACGATTCTCAGGTGGCAGATACAGAAGGAATAACAATCAATCACCTTGCAGCATGCAACGTATTTACTGAACACTAAAAAGAATTCACTTGCGGGGCTTGTACTCAGAGCTCTGACTGTGTCATATCGACAAAACCGCCAAACACAGACACAATGTCAATTTTAGATGTTATTGTTTGGACCTTGTTTGATGCCCGAGAAAGATAATTGCACTTGTTGATGTTTGGCGTGGATTTAATGCTACTTTTGATATTTTCCATTTTTCTTAATTTCACATTCCATGAAAACAATAACTGCTCACACCTTTTTTTAAATAGGATTTATCAAAATCTCAGAACATAACTAAGGCTGGACTGAATAAAAGGATAATAAGAATTTGATAGCTTCACACATTAAGAGGGTTCTTCTTTGGCAGCTGACTGAGGTTGGAGTTTCTCACAACCACATAAACGCATTAATAGAGTATCTGAAAGCACCTGTGTTCTGTGCACTATAGAACAATAAATTCAACCAAGATTAACCTATCTGCCCACCAGTGCTGAGATTAGGGTCAGGGGTATACAGGGGTATACAGGTGTAGCTGGGTTACGGGGTAGTCTTAAGAGGTTAAGCTTACAGATATAAAACATGTCCTGAAATGGCAAGTTTCAAGTCTTTACAAGTGGATTTTTACAGTGCACTGCAATGAATAACTCAGTGACTGCCTGAAAGTTCTCAAGTTCGTCTTGGGAAGCAGTAACGTAAACTTTGTCATTTGTAGTAATTTGATTAGAACTGTAACATCAGTAAGGTTCTTCAAAAATATCTTAGAAGTTTCTCTCATCACTTAATAATGAACTAAATCTGACTTGAATTCTGCATGAGGTTCAGAGACAAAATCATCTACTCACGGCATATTTCTACGCTCTCGTCGGACCCGTCCTCGCAGTCTGGCTCCCCATCACAGTGCCATCGCTTCGGGACACATTGGCCGTTGCGACACACAAAATCCACCTCTGCACAGGTCTTTCTAACTGAATTGGGAGAGAAAAGAGATGGATTCATTAAAAACAGGAGAGGAAAGAGAGACAGACTTCATGTTCTTTAATGAAATCTAACAGAAATAGTGACACATGAATAATGGGTGAGGAAGGGGGAAAGACCAAAGCCATACTTGCACTCCTCATGAATATGAATTACAGTATACCCAACCTCAACTCACCAGCCTCTTTCGTTATCAGTTAAAAAGGTGACTAAATGAACTATAGAATTTAAAATTTCAAATAAATAAATCAGAATAGACAAAAAGACCAATTTAGGAATTACCTTGATGGTATAGTTAACATTACTCTCCATGGTAATGGCTGCTTATGTAGATACAGTGGCCTGTAGGTTCTTTAAACTTTTTTTTTTTTAATTTTATGTTACTTAATCATTGAATGATGTCTGATTGGAATTTGAGGGGTTCAAGCCGACTGGAATAGGAGATATTGACATGCCATATGCAGATGCAGTGGCTGTCCTTCAAAACTGAACTGAAACTGCCGTAAGGTGATCCTCTAAATTGTTTATTTAGAGCACCATCCACCATACATGTTGGTGTTTTTGAACAACAAAAAGACAGAGCTCTGTCAATTTTTTAATATATCCAAATTGCACAGAGAGATGAGTTGTCTTCGACATTTCTCTCTTTGTCCAGTGTAACACCAGCATGCACAGAAAATTAACCAACCACCAAGAGATTCTTTGTTGTTGTTCAGCCTGCTTGGAAAATTAACTACAGCTGAGTAAATAAACCTGTGACGGTACATAGCTGCAGAATCAAAAAGGTCTCCAACTAAACTGCTCAGGTCCTACAGCTTATTAGGATATATTAATTTTGCAAGATCTAATTACATTATAGGCTCTTGCAATTTGAATTATAACTTAAAAAATAAAAAAACGACTGATATTCTACCTCCAGGTTACTAGGATCTTGTGCCAACAGAAAAAAGACAAACAAGATGAAACTATTCTGCTGAAATAAATGGTTTAACGCAAACTTGAGAAAGTATTCCTGATGGTCTGTCAGGAAAAGAGAAGATGGAATGTTTCAAGATGTTTAAGGGATTTCAAAACAGTCTATAAACACAACACAAACCCCTGAACTCTCTGCACCTTCATGTCCACACAGGGCTTGAGTGTCTCCTTGAGGCCTCTCCTCAGTCTCTCTGACCAGAATACAAATATGAACCTGAGAAACAACCAAACTCCAATTTGAGCCATGGCAGCAGCAATTCGCAGTGGGCCTCATTATCAGCCTCCTTTTATGAATTCATTTTGGATTCTCATCTTTCACACGTCCTTGTGTGTCAGTTCTGTCGGGTTGAAAAGTTAAAGCAACTCTGATCTCCCAGTGATGGAATAACAGAACAAATGCAACATAATATCAGCGGCTGGGAGAGAGGGCGAAGGAGTGAAACTGCTAATGGTAACAGTGAAGTGATGATGGACTAAAACAGATTGTGGCCATCAAAGTCACTGATCTGCTCCTGTTTTGATTTGACGCAAACTCTACATCCTCCATGTTTACCTCTTCTCTGAATAAATGTAATATAATGTACACTTCCACTACACCAATTCCATCAGTACATGGTCAGGTAGTCATGCCTTTAAAATTGCATTGCAGTAACTGCTGTGGAAATGTACATTACACTGAATTCATGTAATTAATCTCTTACCACCTTCACCTTTTCCCGCAAAAAATCCTGTATATTTATATCTGAAGGGGGTCTTCTGGTTATCAGGATTGTTCCCTCCTTATCGCCCTGCAGTACGATCTGTTCTTTTTCTCCCCCTCCACCCTTTGCTTTCTGCCCGTTTCTTCACTCATTTCCTTCACTGGTTCTTTCCTCCCTTCCTCATGGTCTCATATGACCCAGTTAGAGGAGGGACAAAAGAAAATCAAGAAAGATCGGGCGCACACACACACACACACACACACACACACACGCGCGCTCTATCTGCTACCTTCCCATCACCAGGTCACTCGGTCCCAGGGGACGCTGGGAAGATTCCTGGTAGGGCCAAGCTAATCTGATGGGTTCTGAATTTCGTGTGACATCTATGTGTGTAAATGTAAAGCAGTGAGAACATGTCATCCATTCTATACGGTCAATGGGCAACCAAAACATACTGTTAGTCTGCATAACAATTGAATATAAACAAAGCAGGCTTTCCCAAGGTTTATCAGTGATGTAAGAACTATGAAACCATAGTTTCAGCCCTCAAGATGATATTTAATGCTGCTGAAACACAGCAAAGCTATACAGAAGATGCTGTAATTCGAATGTTAACATTTGTATTAGTAAGTAAACTCAATGTGCTTTACAAGAAATTGCATGTGCAAACACGAGGGATGGACATCGTTAAGATTTTAATAGTACTACTACACTTACTGATACGGGTATTCCTATCGGTTCTTTTTGTCATTTTTCAAGAGATAACACAAAAAGGATTAAGAACAGAATATAAAATCAAGTACATAGCCTTTTCTTTACTACAGGTCTCTTTGAGATTATGAGACTTTAAATGCTCTGACATTATTGCACCCATATTAAGCTTAACCATCAGCTGGCTAATGGTTACTTTTAATTACTAATTCACGTTTGTATAATTGAGTTAGCTCGTCTCTTGTTGCCCCATCCACCTCATGTATGCAATCAGCCTAGAGTCCAGTCAGAGTTATGAGCTTGAACATGTGATGTAATGTTACTTTCACTAGAAATTTGGAAAGGTCGATCAGTTTCCAACCTTACAGGCAAATGACTTGTTGCATCTGTGGCAACGAGCATTGGCCGCAATCCACGTAGATTCTACGGAAGTGTAACCAGACCTTTTAGCGCCTCTCAGTCTCACAACCAGGGTGTGTATGTGCATGTGTGAGAGACAGGCAGAGAAAGCTTGCCCCGCCCTACGCTACAGGTTCTAAGAAAGCTCTCCTCTGGGTTGGCAGTAGCAAAAATGCGTCAGACAAATGTGTTCATTTCTCCATAGTCATTTGTAAGAACTTGACAGTTTATAGACTAAATTAATCTGGAAAAAGAAATCAATAGATTAGCTACCAAATAAATTATCTTTAGAGTCCTACAACAATGGAGGAAAATGATTCCATTGTTGGTTGCATTACAGAGCAGTCATAGCCAACTTCAGTTGTGTTTATCTGGCAAACACCACAGCACTGGGAGTCGTATGTATCGATGCTCACGTCAAATTGAACTTGGGTGACGGTGACAAGCAGATTATCTTATGGAAATGCCTTGAATTGATTATTCAAATTCTTTGCTGAAACTTGTTGCTGCTTAACAGATATATGCATCCATTTTGGCATAAAGCTGCTGCTTAACAGATATATGCATCCATTTTGGCATAAAGCTGGCGGTAATGAACGGGGGCTTTCAGAGTAAAATTCGCTATTCTGTGGCGCTCCATGAAATGTTTGGTTACAACCAAATGCAGTGCCAGAGCTAGTAACTGCAGAAAAACACTACTGGCACATGCCCTACCAATGTAAAAAGTTAATCTGGCACCCTGTGAGGTGACCTTTCAAGACACGACTCAGACTCCATTTCCAATTTCATTTACATATTGTTCACTCTGGCAGGAAAACATGCTTAATTGTATCCAAGATAGATTGTCATCCATTCACCCACACTCCATCAAAGGCCACATTAACAGTGTAAATATAATACATTTCCAGCCCACACCGGGCACAGGAGCACTGGAAATGGCAACAGGTGTTAACAAAAAGGCAGTGTGTTAAAGGATAATGCTGCATTCACATTCACAGACATATTCTGGATGGAACAGGTCCGACAAAATGACAAAATAAAATAATTTTGTGTATATTATTATATACAATTATTTAACTATTAGCTCCTCATTGTACAGATCACCCATGTTTTATTCCTTGTGTGAGGGAGCAACGCAAGGGAGGGGGAACATCTTACATTGACTCGATGAGAAGAACCTTAATCGACGCGCTCATTAGTTGGATAGTTGCACAATGGGGATGAAGACATGGTGGGTTCAGACAGGGACAGGAGAGGCGTGAAACTGAGGAAGAGGAGCGAGTTTGTAGCTAGTTAATTTTTAAGTAACTGTTAACGTACATACATCCATTGTATCAATTGTCTTGTTTTTGTGACATTGGAGTTGAAGTTATTTATTCCGTGTTTTGAACGACACTTTGGTGATGTTACACTTTTAAATTACAAGTCTCCTTGGTGGTTGTTCTGACACATTGAGAATCATTACCGCTTTTTTCAGAATCAGTTAACAGGCAACTGTTAAAATATATATAACATGAAAACGAGCCGACTATTGGCTTTATTTAACTACTACTAATCTTCAGTCTGGGGCAGCCCTAGTAGTATCCAGGTATAAACTGCATCGTGGAGTACGGCATCTACCATTACCGGTTTTCTCTGCTAGCCTTACTTATCCATCCATTAAAATAAGAAGGTAAGGAAAGAGAAACCACATTTCAGTGACTATGAAAGGTCTGGGGACCTGAGTGTTTTTCAGGAGAGACTCTGTCTAAAGTTCAGACAGTAATGACAGTGTCACAGATTGTGTCACACTGAGTGCCAATGTGGAACAATCATTCACAGACGTTACTTAACTGAACACAAACACTCCCTTGCAGTCCTGTGGTTTCATTTCAGTTCTCTTTATTATTTGTGTATATGCATGGTCTCCAGTGTTCTTCCATACTGGCATTCATGTTGTATGCAGTATGTCAGGCAGTATAGGTCAGTGATGGAGATGGCTGTAGGACGTGTGTGTGCTGTGTGACAGCAGTGTGTGTTTAGCGTCTCACCACAGGAGTTCTCATCACTGCCGTCGGCGCAGTCCTCATCTCCGTCACACTGCCAGACGGACGGGATGCAGCGACCGTTTCCACACTGAAACTGGCTGGCCTCACATTCCGTCTTAGTACCTACAGAGGAAGACAGACACAGAGGCGGTATGAGGGAAATTGAAGATAAGAGTCCCAAATGCTTTCATAATTATCATTTACTGTTTGTTTAGATGCAATTTGCTTTTTGTTTACTCCTAGCAGGGCTCCCTGCAGTGCTGTAACTTCAAATCTAATTGTTTTAAACAGAACTAGCTGGCACTCAGAGCAGATCTCAACTACCACTGAGCCACTGTGCAGACACACCAGCTCCACATGTTGAATTTCCACACAAAGTTCTTCTTGCCTTTCAACCAACTTGTTTCACATTTTTTAACTGTACATGAGGTGACTGTACCTCCGCTAACACCCCCCCCATTTAGGAATTGCAGTAAATTTCTTTGTAGAAACTTCCATCGTAGTCACTACTCATATTGGCTCTAAACTTTGTTATCTATGCAGCTCTATAAACACAATGGACAGGGCATAAAAACCCTTTCTCAAATGATAGCGTGTGCACATTGCTGAGGTCTGAACTGGCATGCCCTGTGTTTGCAACTTTAGATAAAGTGGCATCAATATTTTAGTAGAGAACGAAATCTCAGTGTCCTGAAAATGTCTACTTGGTTCCATCTGTTCCACTGTCACCTGAAGGACATCAGATGTACAAGAACTGAAGAAGAAAAGGTAGTAACCTAGTAGGGATTTCCATTCACAGAAGAACCTTATTTCTGACTTTGATTTGATGAAATCATTAGGCCGGTAGCTTTCTGAATTAAGTTAATCAAAAAAAAAAAAAAAAAAAAAAAAAAGATGAGAAGGAACAACAACAAACATGGGGTTCCACAGAAGAACCATCCACACACTGACAGTCTATTCATCAGTCAATGGACACAATGTTATCGGAAACAATTTTCAAAATTTAGTCATCAATTTGATTAAATATCTTAAAGTAATTTTTCAAGCAAGGGTCATCCTGATCATTACAACATATTTGTAAGGAACGATGAACCTGGTAATGTAGGATCACTTATTCAAGTGTGAAAAAGTACACTTTGTCTATCAACGATCAGTATAATTCAATTGCTGTCAGCTGAGGTAAGGACTCAGCCTTTCTACACAGGGTGCCCCCATCAAAGTCTGTTAAAGTAGGTTATTCCACAACAGGAAGACTTTTTCAATTAGGTTAAAAACAAAGTGCATATGTCGGCATTCGGCCAAAATTTGCTGGGAAAAAAAATGTAAAAAATCAGCTTTGGATATTGGTAAAAATCCAATAATGGGTAGGGAAGTGGTATGTGTAATTTGTAATGTGTAAGGAGATCAGACTTGGATGAAGAGGCGCAAAACTGAATGCAGGAGACTAGAAAAAGGTAGTGTGTACGCTAAGGGTACAATTTACAACAGTGCCCGTCTCTGAAGTGAAGCAGCCAGGACCACAGGCAATCGCTCACCAAGTGCAGTTAAAGTTGACTAGTCACTATCCCATGTGATATAATCAAATTAAGAGTGCCACCCCTGCAAGATTCATACATAAACTGAGCCAGAAAGGATCAAATGCCTTATTCAGGTGAATATTTAAGATCAATAATTCAAAATCTTGAATTGGGCTAGGTGGTCAATAGAGCCCCACAAGGTGGATTGATTCATAATTTTAATACAGAATCATCAAATAAGTTGAATTTAATATCAAGGTTGGAGGTTAAATTGAAAACAGATTAATCGATTAAGACAGCCCCACCTTGCTTAGTAGCCTGATCAGCATTAATCTACGTTAGATTAGCATTACCAATGACTGTTTAATGTCTACTCGGGGCCAGAGTTTCAAATGTTGTGGGTAATGCCAATCCCATTACCAGTGTGTTGTTTTTTCATCCCTATCAGCAGCAATAGCAGAGGCATGCAGGCGGCCAGCAGGACTACCGATAGGGCTAGCAAGGGTCAAAACCTTGTTTGCAGTCAGGGGACCCTTCTGACACCGCTGAACAGGGATAAACTCTGAAAGGCCTGTTACAAAGCCTGTATCTGAAGCTATCTGGAGAGGCTTTTCTAACTGATGAGACACCCTACCTGCAAAGGCACAACCGTTAGCTCAGGAAACAAGCAAGGTTGCCACAGCTTTGGCTGACAAGAGACTACGCTTGAAGACGAGCCTAAGATGAGAGCTAAACTAACAGGGCAGCAACAGAGGCTAAGATTAATGCTACAATTGGTTCGAAAATAAAAAGTAGCAAGTGTATCCGAATTAAATTCTCCATTTGGTGAATACTGAAACAGTGTTCCCAGGTACTGTTGAAAGAAGTGAAACTAAAGTAGAAATAAAACTGTCCCTACATTTATTTCCCCTTCAACAAGAAAAACTGGATTTCCAGACTCTGTACTACAAAGTAGTTTTTGCAGTGTAGTGCTCCAGTGCAGTCATACTGGAGGTAGTGCCGGCTCCAGGTCTTAAAATAACACCGTCTGACCTTGACGCTCCTTCTAGTCTGGACTGTGTGTCTATCCAGGTGGGTAAATGGAGCACACAGTGCTGATAGCAGCCGAGGATAGGTCGCACATCCAACTGAATCGCTTGTGCCATTGAGAGGTCAACTACTTTTCATTAAAAAAAAAAAAAAGGTTTGTTAAAACTTCAGCGGTGGTTGCCAAAATAATAATATCAATAAAAAAATAAAATAAAAACGTTCAGATATTTACACAAGAATGATATATTTCTTGTCTGGATGGAAAGTCTGTAAAAACGGCTTTTAGTCACTGAATTGCCACTATGAAAGAAACTGTTTAAAGTGGGTCAGCAGCTGCTTTGGGGAGAGAAACAACTCCCACTGATATGATTTGAACCTGAAGAGCTTCCGGCCTTTAACTGAAGCAGCAACACATGACTGAAGATAAAGTTATAAAATCTATGGTTCTGCACTTACTACGTAGCTGTGGCCAGTTAGGAACCTCTGTCATATTGGCAAGGTGACCGGCCTTTATCTGATGTTCAATATAAAGCTAACAGCACCTCTGCTCTCTCAGTGAAACAATATTTTATTTCTTAAAATGTGAATTACATTTTTTTGTACATATGCGTTTATACTGCACCGAGTTGTGTGAGAGTAGGGATGGGGCCGATCCGATCCAGTATCGATATCGGGACCGATACCAGCGTAATTCATGGATCGGAAATTTTCGATCCAACCTGCAGAGATTTCCGATCCCAGACCGATGTCTGCGCTTTAACGTTGTCTGCTGAAATGACTCCAGGAGTGATTCCTGCCAGCTAGTCTGCTAGCAGGAAGCTCCCCCACGTCGTACAACACTACGAATGCAATCAAACATTTTTAAAAAAAAGGACCACACGAAAGAGCACAAGGATTTTTTAGCCAGGGGGCAGAAAGACAAAAGGAGCTGTCAGGAATCATTGTGTGTGTAAGATCTTTTCTGACCTTATACTTACCTAAAGTTGCCTTTTGGGACATACATGCATACATACGTACATAAACTTGCCTGTTGAGGAGTTTATTTCAGCCTCATAAAATCAACAATAATGATAATATTAAAGCAAACAGAGCTCTGGTATTGGAATAGTATCAGTATCGGCAGATATCCAAAATCGGGATCGGAAGTGAAAAAATGTGGATAGGTGCATCCCTATGTGAGAGTTGGATGTTTTGCCAGTCTGGACAGCTAGTTTTGGATTAATTCGTGGAGGCACCGACATGCAAAGAACAAAAACATCTTGGACATTCAGCTTTGTGGTTTGTGGTTATTTTGAGACTAGGTTTTTAGTAAGTTTACTGCACCACCCCTCACTTAAACGGCATTTTTGAAATAAAACCAACATACGACAACATGTCTTTTTGGCCTATTTTGTGCTGTGTGTGCAAGACGTAATGTAACTCAAAACAATGTGCGAGAATCAGGTCCAGAGTTTATGTGAAAATGACTCAACTAGGCTGAGAATTAACTCAAATTTTTTTTGCCGTAATGGTTTGGTTTTAGTGATAGGCAACTAGAAGCATTAATCCCCATCACATATTTTTACTGAAAACGGGCCAATAACAATTGGTGGCTGATCAATGTGGACATCCTTAGATTAAACAAACACAATGAGGTAATAACAGCAAACAGCAAAAAAAGTGAAGCTAGACAAATGCTGAACAGGAAAGGTCCTTGAAAGTGTTTTCATTTTTGGCTACGCCTGATACGAGTCCACTAATTTCACAGCACGGGAGGAGGTGAACACACAGCCAACAGTGCCAACAGCCTGCAGACTTCCATTCAACCAAGACTACGCCAGCTGTACCTCCACTACAGTCATGCTACAGAATAGAGAGTGCGTTGACCTTTCATCCGCATTACCATTTCAATCACCACAATCAAAGCATAATGGATCATAGCGAACCTACCTGCATTCTAATCAGAACAAATGGAGCACATCAACCCATCTAACAAATAATCACTGACATACAGACAGATAATAGGGAGAGGGACACAAAACCGTTCTTCAAGTACTCTCACAGCTCAGGAAAACCTCCTTCCTGAATAGGAAAGCTCATACTCACACAATGTTACCTTCTGACCTGTGAGATACAGCCAACTGTTGGCTTGCATCAGTAACTAACAGTGCTACAGCCAACGACTGCCTGGTGCTGCTACTAATGCTGGGGGGGGGGGTTTCTTACCATTTTGTCTATTTTAGTTGAATAATTGCTTTAAAAAAATCCCACAATACAACAGCTTATGTGTTCCCAACAAAAGTAAAAACAGAAATTCATTGTTTTTAAATGGGAATGAGGAAAAAAGCTGCAAATCCTCACATTGGACAAGAAACTTTAAAAAAGGCATTGTCATGATAAATTGCTTAATACAGAGCAATTTCTTTTCTGATCATCAACTACTTTATTAAACCCCATTTTTCCATCAATCTTGTTTACTGCAACTGGTTGCTCAAATTTCTGAGCCAGTGTACACATACAGTGTTTCACATGTTGCAAATGGGCAACGTATTTAATGACGATACAAGTGCCTGGTTTCCACCAACAATGAAACAGCAG